GGATTTTTATCTGTCATTTACAGGCGATTTATTCCAGATACAATGCCTTAATGGGAAAATAAACTATTTAGTAACCTTTAATTAGAACTGCAAAATACTCATAAGCAGTTCTGGGATTCAAGTTCCAATATCAGATACTACTGTTATTGTAATTCCACCAAAAAAAAGAATAAGACCAGTAGGGAATGTACTGGGCTGCATATCGAGGCACGCTGTGCTGTCTGTTCCTGGAACAGACAGATAGGAAGGTACTGACATCAGGTCAGGCCTTGAGATATGGTCTCATGGTCCCTCCTCAATATACTGTGCTCTCTGTTCCCGAAAAACATAGATAGGAAGGTGATAATGCTATACTGTGTTGGGAACAAATTGCGTAAGCATGGCTTTGTAACTTTGTAGTTTTTGCATATAAATAGCCATAACTCTTGCAGTCAGGTGCTGCAGTTCGAAGCAAAGGCTGAACTGCAGACAGCTGGCCAGCTTAATAAAGGTTCCTAAATTTAAATTCTGAGTCAGTGGTCTATCTCGCTGAGTCAACCCATAACAGTCTATGTCATCACCACAGACATTCACAAGAGAAGCCAGGAGAGCCATTGGATTGGCACAGCGGTCCTCACTCCTCCATCTAGTGATGCTGTCACCCAATATTCATAAACTGCCTTGTTTGGCGGACTCTGTAGTTAGAAATTGGCTTTGTAACTCTTAGTTTTCTTCTTTTCATAGACACCAGTCCTCATTAACTGTCTGGTGGCTAACACCCTGCAGCACACCTGCTGCTGACAAGTCCGAACACAAGCTTCATCTCATCCTGAGTGAACCAAAGGTAAGTAAACAAGGATATGCTCATGGGTGGGGAATCCTGAGCACCTGCACTGTGACTCACACACCGGCCTTCCCAAGGTCCCAACCACAGTCCCCATCTGTCGGGGACACTGGTAGGACCATCACGTCTGCTGCGGTGCATGGAGGGGGACACGCAGCAGCCTGCACCTGTGACAGTGCCTGTCTTTTTCCGGGTTGAACTCAAAAGAAGCAAACTTTCCGGTCACTCCATGGAATCATATACCCAACTGAGGAGTAATCTGCCTCTAAAATCCAGAGGCTCCCTGGGCGCTGGTTCTCCATCTTGGTAGCAGGGGCCAGATGCCAGCAATCATTATTTACCTCAGACACCTGCCTGCCCCACAGAAGAGCACTGGACACAAACATATTTCACTGAGTAAGAATTCTGAATTTCAGTCAGATTTCTTCCTCAGCTACTGACTCTAAAAGTGTATCAACTCTAGAGTAGTATTGTCCCACTCACTTGGCCCATTCTGGATAACGTCATCATTGTAACTGACCAGCAAGAAGTATTTCCTGGAGTCTGGGGGCTGGTGCTGCCAAGGGGGAGGCGTGGCTGCGATCAGCGTTATACGCCCCCGTGCTCCCCCTTAGTGTGAAGCCCAAGTCTTTTCCTTGGACTTCCTATCGCCGTGAGAGAAAAGCGGACCTCGTTAGCAGCCCAGAAATACCTCTGGGATCCCGAGTTTGTTGAGGCGGTCGTCGTGAGGGCCACCCTCTCTTCCCGAACGTGCACAGCTGTTTGTTTTTAAACGCTGGGTTGGCGGGAACCAGGGTGCCCGCGGGAACTCCTGCCGTCAGTCGGCCGCCGGTCGGGTAACTTGGATGCGGTATTGCTCCCTGTGGGCAGAAAGTCGCCGAGTAATAGTTGCAGTCGCTCAACTTTACCCACCATGTGCTGAACGCTGGACTGTTCAAACGGAAAAAGGACCTCCTGGAAACATCCCTACGAACTGTAGACTCTCCGAGGATCACTTCCTGCAGCAACTTCCGTAGCCACTCCTGCTTTTCCAACTTTTGCAGATGTTTACGCAGCTTATACAGAAGCTCTATTTCACCCACAGTTTTCCTTCTGTAAGGAACAGAAACAGAGAAGCCACTCCATCAGCCCTCCTCTTCCCATCATAAAGCCAGCCCTAAAAGTCCAATCCCCAAGTCCTAGCCATGCAGAACAAGAAACGGTACTTACTTCATGGGTTTCCCATCTGATTTTGCAAAAACACAAATTGCAAACATGATGATCATTACTTTAACAATCATTACTTTTGCAGACATCATCTTCACTAAAGAGGAAAAGCAAAATGCAGTGGTAGCATCATTTAAAAGTGGTATAAGAATCAGAGCAGTATGAGAAAGAGAGATCGACCCCCCGGCCCCGCAAAGACACTGCGCTGCTGCATCCCCCATGTCCTGCTCTGACATCCCACCACCATCACCATCATGCCCAAGAGAAAGGCAGAAGGGGATGCTAAAGGAGATAAAGCCAAGGTGAAGGACAAACCACCGAGAAGATCGACCAGATTATCAGCTAAACCTGCTCCTCCAAAGCCAGAGCCCAAAAAGGTCCCTGCAAAGAAGAGAGAGAAGGTACAGAAAGGGAAAAGGGAAAGCTGATGCTGGCAAAGATGGGAATAGCCCTGCAGAAAATGGAGATGGCAAAGCAGGCCAGGCACAGAAAGCTGAAGATGCTGGAGGTGCCAAGTGAATTGAGTGCATTTTTGATAGCTGTGTATTTCTGGTGACTGTACAGTTTAAAATACTATTTTTTATCAAGTTTTATAAAAATGCAGACTTTTGTTTTACTTTCTTTCTTTTAAGCTATGTTGTTAGCACACAGAACACTTCATTGTTATTTTGGGAGAAGGACATATAGTACTAATAGAATGTCTCCAAAGCTGGACTGACATGGGGGGAAATACCTTTCCCTTCCAGTTTTGAGAAACTTCCTCTTGGTTCCTGGGAGGAGGATCTCTTGATGTTGTCACACATTAGCCATCTTGGCACAAACACCTTGTCGTGTGGGAAACTAAAATTCATTTTTCTGTCCTTTTCTCCCTCTCCAATTTAGCATAGACTGGCTCTCTTAAGCCCAAAGACCTATTGGGACCTGACCCAAAAAACGTTGATTTCCAGTCAGTTGGGCAATCTGAACTTTCCAGTGTCACCATGGAGATGGCCTCCCTCAAAAGAGCAGCAGTTCCTTTTTAGATTGTGGATCTACAGATCGATGTTCTCTGCCATTTTCATTTCATTTCCTGAAAGTTAGGGTCGGCTTGTGAGAAGTTGTTACACAACATGCTCAAAGTGAAATGTCAACCCTCACTCTAAACTTTCCCTATTTGGAGCATCAGATGAAGATTTCACTGGGTTTTATGGTGGCTTTCTGATTTTGGTAGCTCATTGAAGAAAGGAGTTTGAAAGTTGTATGTTGTTAATGATTGTCTGCCCATATCCTGTCTGAAATACAATGATTGTTTATGAAAAGTACCTTTAATAAAGCTGGATGCAGTTTGAAAAAAAAAGTAGTATAAGAAAAAAAAAAAAAAAAAAAAAAGAAGTATTTCCTGTGGAAGAAAAGGGCAGTGAGGACCTTCAGCCTGTAGAGATGACTCATCCCAGAGGGAAGATAATGAAGGTGTTTGGGGGCCTTGCCACCTGAGAGAAGGCAAATTGGATTGAACTATGGGAACACGAGGAGGAGGCATTTGCCTGCACTGTAGTTGCATATGGAACAAGGTGATGTGGACTTTGAAGTTGCTCAAGTAAAGTAACCACATGGTACAGCAGCAGCATAGGGTCTCCTGTAGTTAAAGAATCGGTGAGTACACTGCCGCTTTCCAAGTTGTGTCTTCTCCTCTCTCTCTTTCTTCTCCATCTCCTACTCCTCCTCCTCTTGCTTCCCATCCTTTTCTTATTCTTTCTATTTCTTCTAAACTTTCTTTCCTCCTCCTCTACTCTCTCCATCTTTTCCTCCTCTCTTTCTGGTTCCTGTCCAATCTCCTCCTCCTTCTCTTCCTCCTTCTTTCTCTCAAAACAAACCAAAAGCGTAATGAGGATGTGCCCAAATCCTCACTCCTGAATCTTTCAAATCCTTCATGGTGGCACAAATCTCTCATATTCATCAGGCAGATGGTACAGATTCTAACTTAATACTTGCACAGTTACAGGCAGTTCTTATGGATTGGTTTAGACTTTCTCTCCACAGTTGCCTTGACTCATCAGTGATGAGTGTGTGGGATAATTCCTCTGGTATAGTTATTTCAGTTATGCATTTTACAACCAGGAGCAACCACAGAAAGGGTGTGATCAAATTTGGACCTATTTCAAAATGGACCTGAGCAAAAATTCACTGGTCACCTGACCCTCAAAAGCTCCTAGTCTTAGTGAGGGCTATAGTATTATTTTGGATTCTGAGACCAATTTCTGTTCATAACCATTTTCCTGTGGTCGCTGAATTATCTAGTTCATTGTTTCCCCCAAAGAGATAGTTACTCGGATAAAACTTTTTGAAAAGGGGCTATCAGCCAATGGGCCAACCAAAGCATTCCTTCTTCTATATTAGAGCAGGAATCAGTGGGCATTTCCATGTTACAATTTTGGGTCCATCTTTGGATGTCTTTTTTCAGCCCACCATCTCAATAAACTTTATACAACTTTGATAATGACCCAAGCTGCAGATATAAATGCACAGTCTCTGTCTTGTCGCCCCAAACTATTAAATTCCCTTTTCATCACAATGTATATTTCTTTGAACATTGTCCCTCCACCATTAATTATTTCCGTACATAATCCATGTTTCCCTGCTTCTGTAAATCACAGAATTCACATGGCTCTTGTAAAGGGTAGCACACTTCCTCAAGGTTCGCACTCTGCCCCTCACCTTTAGTGTCTTGCTGGGATTTGTGTCTAGTCGAGGTGGCAGCTGCTGCAGGAGAGCTCACTGCCGTTATCGTCCTTGTGTGTTTCCTCTTGCACATTTTCCCAGTCCATGAACAATTCTGAATTATTCCAATTAGGTTATAGCCATGTAGGTTATAACTCTACCATGAACCTTCCCAGTTTTCTCACATCTTTGGCTTGGAACCATTGAGAAAATGAATCTTCTCATGTCCTGAATATTTTCAAGCTGAATCTGGTGTCTTGGATATAAATCAAGGAAAACATCCATGTCTGCTGTTGCGGACCACTCAGAAATTTTTCTGAACATCTATGTCATCACCAGAGACATGGAAACTACAAACTAAAAACACATTAGATTGCCACAGCGATCCTCACTCCTCTGTTTAGTGATGCTGTAGCCCAATATTTAGAGATTGTCTAGAATGGACTCTGGAATAGAACTTGGTGTTTGTTTTCTCTTAATGATTGTCTTTTATTTTCCTAGCCATCTTCCTCAATAACTGTCTGATTACTGACGCCCTAAGCACACCTGCTACTGCTCAGTCATAACAGAGGCTTTCCATGATCCTTAATGAACAGAGGCAAGTAAACGAAACTATG